CGGAAATGACTCTGCAAGCCCTGGTAAAGTGTCCCTTCCTTTGCAGGAATGAAAACTGAGACCCAGAGAGAGGACTGGTCTTCAGAGGGCTCAGAAGTGTCCCAGCTTCGAACATAGGTCCTCCCGCCTCCCTTCTGCCCCATGTTCCCCAGACCCCAGCCCGGGGCCTAGAGCCACCCTGGGAAAGAGAGTCCTTTGCCTCCAGTGTGGGAACGTCACGGATTACCTGGCTCGGAGAGCTGGATGCGGTGCGTGGAGCCGAGGCCGCCACCTGCCCGGAATGCTGGGTTTTCACGGTGCTGCTGCTCCTTTGTGCCTGCGAGGATCTCCTCCCCTTGCTTGTGAAATATTGGTGGGGACAACATAGTGTTCTGACCTTAGACTGGAAATGACCAAAAGACCATTTCTGATTATAGTTTGATTAGATCTACCGGAATATTTTGGTTACGGGAAAAACTTATCTTAAAAAAAAAGTCTACGTATATATAAACAAACAAACAAAAAAACTTTTCCCCTGCTAGAGTTCTCTTTTGATTATGAAAAATTCATTGAGGAACATGTGAAAGCTTGGAATATATAAAAGAGACATTAAAAAATATCCCTGACTCTTGTTCTTATTTTTTAAAAAATATTGACTCTTCTTAGTTTTTTTTCCCCTTGTTGATGACATCCTCATTGAGGATTATGTGAAAATGCAGCATGAAGAGAAGGGCATTTGAAAATATTCCCCAGGATTGTGTCGCTCTGGGACAGCCCAGCTGACATTGTGTGGTGTTTTTGGGTTTTTTTTTTTTTAACGTCACTTTTTTTGATGTGTGTGCACACCTGTATGTATGTGATATGAATCCCTAGACACAAACTCAGGTATGTTTCAAATATGCAATACACTTTATTTATCTATAGCTTGGTTTGCATGTTGAGGGACCCCTGTCCCATTCCAAGACAGGGGCTGTGATTCTGAGTGTCCCCAAGAATGTTGAAATTGTTACCATTCTGCTCGCCAGATGACAGGCCAATATATTGGGAGGCAAGGTACTGAGGCAAGGAACAGCGACTTTATTTGGAAAAACCAGCAGACCAAGAAGATGGCAGACCAACGTCCTGGAGAACCATGTTCCCCAAGTCAGAATTCAGTCTCCTTTAATGCTTGTGTTGTTGCAAACTTCTTTTTTTGTTTGTTTGTTTGTTTGTTTTTGCAAACTTCTTGGTGTAGGGAGTCTTAGTTCTTGGAATCCTTGGTTCTTGCAGCCGTCCACGTGGGTCAGATCATGGTGTCCCTGCAAACCTCCAACAAAACAAAAGTTATGTTCTATTCTGCAACTTGTTATCTTTATATGAATGGGAAAAAGTTAATATCCTTAAAGGTTAGAGACTTGAGAATAGGCTGTCCTGTATATTTCAGGCTCTAGGCAACATTCTTTCACAAAAGGTGCAGAACCAGCAAGCGTAAACCTAAGAAATAAAGCACAGGGTTAAAACCAAAGGAACAGATCTAATATGGAGTCAGATTTGTTCTTGTCTTATTACAAAATCACAAGTTTCTGGGCCTCTGGTCTCCAGAACATCTGTCTCTGGGGGCCTTGGGTACTGGTGTTCCTCCTCCTGCCCTTCCCCAGTGCCTCGCCCTAAAAGATGGCTGGCCCTTCTCCCTGACTGACCTTGAGGTCTCCTTACATTCTTCTTGGGCTAATCCCAGGCCTTTCTTTTTGAAATTATGCCAATAACTATATTGCCATGAAAATAAGAACTCTCACAAGAGTTATGGATTGGGGCAGGAGTTAATGTAAGAAGGAAAAGTTAAATGTTTCATCTTGTTTCAAAATGTGTACTCTATCAAATTTCTGCAAGTCAGAGATACCTTGAGAAAAGAGGTTTCCTTAAATCTGGAAGAGCAAAACGTAAAAGAATTGGCAATGTTCAAACCCAAAAGTCATGCAAATTAGAATCATCTTCATCAGTTCATTCAATCCTATCTATCTAATTCCTGATCTTATTTTTTTTTTATTTAGAAGTTTTGTGAAGTTTCTTCATTAGAGTTCTGTAATTTCTTACCTAGTTCACTGGTATTATCTGAAAGTTTGTCAGAAACCCCTGTTCTAAGGGAAGTGTCAGAATCCTTTCCATGAATCTCTCTGAAGCTAAAACATATTTGCAAAAACATCAGAGTAGCACAACTCTCTGTAAATGCTAAAGACTCAAAAGTGCCCATTATTGAAAATCTGAGTGTTCATTATAATGCAATTGACAAGGACATTTTGTTATTCCTGTGAAACATAACATTTTAAGATAAATAACTAAAATAGTGACTAATAACATTGTACCAGGACACATCTGATTTCCAGGAATTCACATAGTTTCTGAAACACTTTCAACACATATTTAAACAGACACAACAGGAAGAAAAAGATTTAGTATTACTTATTTGACAATGCTTCCCATGTAATTTAACATATTAAATCTTCCTCTAATTACATCTTCCTTTAATTTAACATCTTCCTTTAATTACAGATATAGAAGAAACCACTGAGACATTTCAAGGGCCTTCTGAAATATTTCATACCTCAAAGTAAGTTCCGAGTCAAAAAGAGTGCATTTAGAAGTTGATTTTGGAAGTTGATTTTGGAAGTTTGCCAAAAATAGCAAATTGTTTTACTCAACCAAATAGGATTTTAGGTCATTGTGAAGCAATATTGAGCTATTCATTTAACCGAAATAACGAAGACTTCATAAGCAAGTATAGAAGGTTATATAATTTTTAAAAGCCTTCACTCTTTTAATGTCTAGAAGACTAGGTTTACTTAAGTGATTAAAGACCTAATGAAGACAATATAGTACATAAGCGATCATTTTGACAAGATGTAAGAGCTTAGTTTTTCTTCCTGGCACATTACTTAAAGATAAAGAAAAACCTTTCATATTTTCTTAGGATCAAGAACAGATCAATAGAAAAAAAATTTGATCATTTAACAGAGAGTAAACCAAATTCCAATAGCATACCAGTTTACTTTTATAATAAAACTTATTTTGTAGTTAAACTTATTCCAATTTCAGCTAGTCCTGAGCACACATAAATTTCCTTTCTAAAGATTCCTTTATTCAGAAAACTTTCGCAACTTTCTACTTCCATTCTATTTGTTCTTTCCCATTTAGAAATAACCAGCCTTAGGACAAAATCATTTGTTTTTTCTTAATATGATGCATTTCCATTTCTTTTTTTTAACATTTTTTATTGATTTATAATCATTTTACAATGTTGTGTCAAATTCCAGTGTTCAGCACAATTTTTCAGTCATTCATGGACATATACACACTCATTGTCACATTTTTTTCTCTGTGATTTATCATAACATTTTGTGTATATTTCCCTGTGGCATTTCCATTTCTTATACCTGTCAAAAAATGTCCTTGAATATGAAGATATTTTCCTTATTTTAATTACATATATTAATTAAAATTCTTTACCACTGAGAACACTTGGAATTGAAATTCAGGAGGTACAGAGACAAAAAAAGCAAAAGAGAGTTCAGAGAGGAGAAAGAATCAGGGGCTTAAAAGGCAAAAGCCAGGTGACTGTTAAAATTGTCTTGCAAGAATTAGGATTGACTCTGTGACAAAAAAAAAAGGAAATATTTACCCGTATAGGACAAGCAGGCTATCACAAATTATTTAGGATAAAGTCTCAGTATGTAGATAGGCAGTCATGGGTTATTTTAGGGTAAGGCCCTATAAGTACCTTGAGTTTCTGGAACTTTGGCCAATACTCTGGATGACTGCATTTAGACAATACGTGGTCAAAGTTCAGATTCCCTTTGAACTGGAGTGTGCATAATCATGGCTGGTTGTTATAACCACCTCAATCAATATGGCAGAGTGCAAGTCATGCTATGTGACTTCAGAGTCCAGCACAATACTGAGAGGAAGGCCCAGCCACGTGGAAAACACATTCTGATGTAGGTGTTCCTGACCACAGCTCCAGCTGGGGTCACTTGCTGACACCCAGCATCGACCACCCAATATACGCGTGAGGAACCACCCAACATGTGCATGAGGGAGACTTTGATGATTTCAGTCCCAGCTATGGTCAGAGTATCCACAGGAGACACCCAGAGTGAAAACAGCCTTATCGAGCCGAGATTTGACACCAGAATTGTGAGAAATAATAAGAGATGATTGTCATTTTATGACAATACTTTCTATGCCCAGCAAAAATATTTTTCAGAATTGAAAGAAAAACATAGATTTTATAAACAAACAAAAGATTCAATAATTCATTACCAGCAGACCTGCATTACAAAAAAAAAGTGTTAAAACAATTTCTTGGGACAGAAAGAAAATACAGGTAGAAATTAGTACCTAAACCCAGGAATAAAGAGTTCCCCAAAATAGAAAAAAAAATAGATTTTGTCCTCATTGTGAAATTCTGTGATGGATAAATGACTGTTTATAGC